TAATAGAGGTGATTGTAGCATTATAATGATAGGTAGTGATCATTATTAGTAGTGGCAGGTGATGGTGGTGGTGTTACCTGATTGAATTGAATTGAAACAGATTTATTTTGCCAGAAAAAGCACAGATACAGAGTGGATAATAATAACAATATTCCCATGGCTGAGCCAGTTGAGAACCTGAGCTCTCCTGTAGGCACCTGATATATATACTATACATTTATCCCAAGGAAGTATTATGTAATATTTAGTATCATCTGGAGTAGTACAAAAGCATGGTGGTAATAAGAACATCTCATAATGTTATCACGGTTATCACTTCAATATTTATTTATTTTAGTTTTGTTTTATATATAATAAGTATATACATAAATTACAGTGGAATTGTAAAACAAAAATATAATGGGGGAGCAGTACAACATGGGTTGTACAGTATTAAGGTTGAACAAGGGGACAGAGCTGTCATGATTATGTCTAGTTGGCAAATATATTTATTGCAACGGTAAAATCATATCTATTTACATGATAATTTCCGAAAAAAAAAAACGGGTTTGATGGTACAATAAAAGCAGGCACTGTAAATATAGTAGGTATTACAAGAAATATTAATACTTAGAGTCTTAGAAAATAGATATTTTTTAAGAGATGATTTAATGAAGGGAGCTAGTCATTGATTGGATGAGTGGGGGTAAATTGTTCCACACCTTTACACCTTGATATTTTATGGAGGTCTGGGACTGAGAGGAGGACATGGGGGGTGGTCTTAGTACCTCTGGGTGCTTTAAGTTGTATCTCTGATTATTCCGGAACTGGAAATAATTATTTTCAAGCAAGTGATTGATAGATTTGTAAACAAAAAGGGCACAGCAGTAGGTGTTAATATCTTCGAATTTTAACATTTTCAATTTAGCAATTTTTTCGTTTGTGTGATCTGGTTTTTTCAAGTAGGTCATTTTCCGTACAGCTCTCTTTTGTCCAGTAACCAGGGATTGTGTTTTTGAAGAGCCAAAGGTCCCCCATAGTGTGTGACAAAGTATCATGATAGATTTCTTTTATTGCTGTGAGAGTGAGCGTCTATCGAGTGTGATACATGATACCCCACTGTTTATTGACTATACTGTGAATGGCTAATATGTGGTTTCTCCAGTTAAGTTTCTCATCAACAAGAACTCCGAGGAATTTACTATTTTGTTAGCGTTTGAGGAGTGTATTACCAAGGTACAGGGGTTCCAAGTCTGGGGGTAAGCTTTTCCTTCTGTGAAAGGTCGTGTGGTGGGTTTTCTCAAGGTTTTCTCGAGCATCACCAAAAGTTATGGGTCTTTTTTCAAATTTCCTTTGGAGTTTGTGTTTTTCTTTTATCATTATCTTGATTTCGTTTGTGATATAGGGTTTGGAAATGAATACGGTTGATAGCGATGTTAGTAATGATAGTGGTAGGTGGTGGTAGGTGATGGTTGTGGTGTTACCTGATGATAGCGATGTCAGTAATAACAGTGGTAGGTGGTGTTAGTGATAGTGGTAGGTGGTGGTAGGGATGGTGGTGGTGGTAGTGACAGTGGTAGGAGGTGGTAGTGATAGTGGTATGTGGTGGTAGTGATATAAGTGTTAGATGTTGGTGATAGTGGTAGGTATTAGTGCTGATAGTGGTGGTGGTGGTGGTGGTGGTAGGTGGTGATGATGGTGGTGGTGGTGGTGATGGTGGTGGTGGTGGTGGCAGGTGTCAGTTATATATGGGGTGTGACAGATGGGCGTTAAACTGATCTTGACTGGTTAGACCCTGTGGGAGTCGGCCGGTGGGAGAGTAAGGGAGAGGGGATGGAGGGTGAGAGGTGTGGGAGAGTGACAGAGGGGATGGAGGGTGAGAGGTGTGGGAGAGTAAGAGAGAGGGGATGGAGGGTGAGAGGTGTGGGAGAGTAAGAAGAGGGATGGAGGGTGAGAGGTGGGAGAGGAGAGGGATAGGGGATGAGAGGTGTGGGGAGAGTAAGGGAGAGGATGTGGGAGAGGGAGAGGGATGAAGATGAGAAGAGAGGAGATGGAAGGTGAGAGGTGGGGAGAGTAAGGAAGAAGATATGGAGAATAAGAGGGGAGAGTAAGAGAGAGGGGATGGAGGTGAGAGGCGGGGAGAGTGAGAGAGAGGGATGGAGGGATGAGAGGAGGGAGAGTGGAGAGAGATGGAGGGGGGAGAGGTGGGGAGAGTGGGGAGGGGACGGAAGATGAGAGGTGTGGGAGAGTAAGGGAGAGAGGATGGAGGGTGAGGGTGGGAGGAAGGAGAGGATGGATGGTGAGAGGTGTAGGAGAGTAGGGAGAGGGGATGGAGGGGTGAGAGGTGGAGAGAGTGAGAGAGGGGATGGAGGGTGAGAGGTGGGAGAGTAAGGGAGAGGGATGGAGGTGAGAGGTGGGGAGAGTAAGGGGAGAGGGGACGGAAGATGAGAGGGTGGGAGAGTGAGAGAGGGGATGGAGGGTGAGATGTGGGAGAGTGGAGAGAGAGGGGATGGAGGGTGAGAGGGGGAGTGAGAGAAGGGATGGGTGAGAGGGAGTGAGAGAGAGGGGATGGAGGGGTGAGAGGTGGGGAGAGGAGAGAGGGATGGAGGGTGAGAGTGGGAAGAGTGAGAGAGAGGGGATGGAGGGTGAGAGGTAGGAGAGTGAGAGAGAGGGGATGGGGGTGAGAGGTGTAGGAGAGTAAGGGAGAGGGGACGGAAGATGAGAGGTGGGAGAGTGAGAGAGGGGATGGAGGGTGAGAGGTGGGAGAGTAAGAGAGAGGGATGGAGGAGAGGTGGGGAAGGTAAGGGAGAGGGGACGGAAGATGAGAGGTGGGAGAGGAGAGGGATGGAGGGTGAGAGGTGGGAGAGAAGAGAGGGATGGAGGGGTGAGAGTGAGAGAGAGGGGATGGAGGGTGAGAGGTGTGGGAGAGTGAGAGAGGAATGGAGGGTGAGAGGTGTGGGAGAGTAAGAGAGAGGGGTGGAGGGTCAGACGTGTGGGAGAGTAAGAGAGAGGGGATGGAGGGGTGAGAGGTGGGAGAGTAAGAGAGGGGATGGAGGATGAGAGGTGGGAGAGTAAGAGAGAGGATGGAAGATGAGAGGTGGGGAGAGTAAGAGAGAGGGGATGGAGGGTGAGAGGTGTGAGAGAGTAGAGAGAGGGTATGGAGGGTGAGAGGTGGGGAGAGTAAGGAGAGGGATGGAGGGTGAGAGTGTGGGACAGTAAGAGAGAGGGGATGGAGGATGAGGTGTGGGAGAGTAAGGAGAGGGAATGGAGGGTGAGAGGTGTGGGAGAGTAAGAGAGAGGGGATGGAGGGTGAGAGGGTGGAGTAAGAGACAGGGAATGGAGGGGGAGAGGTGGGAGAGTGAGAGAGAGGGGATGGAGGATGAGAGGTGTGGGAGAGTAAGGGAGAGGGGATGGAGGATGATAGGGTGGGAGAGTGGGATGGAGGGTGAGAGGTGGGAGAGAGAGAGAGGGTGGAGGATGAGAGGTGGGAGAGTAAGGGAGAGGGTAGGAGGGTGAGAGGTGGGAGAGTAAGAGAGGGGATGGAGGATGAGAGTGTGGGAGAGTGAGAGGGAATGGAGGGTGAGATGTGGGGAGAGAGGAGAGAGGGGATGGAGGATGGATAGGTGTGGAGAGGGAGAGAGAGGGGATGGAGGGTGAGAGGTGGGGAGAGTGAGAGAGGGATGGAGGATGAGAGGTGGGGAGAGAGAGAGGAGGAGAGAGGGATGAGAGGGGTGGGGGGGAGAGAGAAGAGAGAGGGGATGGAGGATGAGAGGTGTGGGAGAGTGGAGAGGGAGAGGGGAGTGAGAGGGGGGGGGTGAGAGGATGAGAGTAGAGGAGAGAGGAGAGGAGAGGAGGAGGGGACGGAAGATGAGAGGTAGAGTAGGGGAAAGGGGACGGGAGGATGAGAGGTGTAGGAGAGTGAGGGGAGAGGGGATGGAGGATGAGAGGTTGGGGAGAGTAAGGGAGAGGGGACAGAGGATGAGAGGTAAAGGAGAGGGGACGAGAGCTATGGGATAGTGGTGTGGATGAGAGGTGGGAGAGTAAAGGAAAGGAAGGAAGGTGAGAGGTGTGGGAGAGTGAGGGAGAGGGGTTGGAGAATGAGAGGTGAGGGAGAGGGGACGGAGGACGATAGCTATGGGATAGTGGTAAGGATGAGAGGTGTGGGAGAGTAAAGGAAAGGGGAAGGAAGGTGAGAGGTGTGGGAGAGTGAGGGAGAGGGGACGGAGGATAAGAGGTGTGGATGAGTGAGGGTGATGTGTGTAAGAGAGGGAGGGGTATAGAGAGAGAGAGAGAGAGAGAGAGAGAGAGAGGAGGTCCCACAGTAGTGATGATAAGATAGTCACGCATCACCTTGGCTCACAATGGCCAATCATTACCCTTGATATACAACCTGGAGGAGTGTCGTCACCTTCACCCGTCACTTTTACCAGTTACCTTCAATTTGACGTGTCACCTTCACCTGCCACCCTCACCTTTACCCGTCACCTTCACGCGACACTGTTACCCGTCACCTTTACCTTCACCCGTCACCTTCTCATTCACCCGTCACCTTCTTCACCCGTCACCTTCACCTGTCACCTTGACCCGTTACCTTCACCTTACCCGTTACCTTCACCTTTACCCGTTACCTTCACCTTTACCCGTCACCTTCACCCGTCACCATCACCTCTACCCGTCACCTTCACCTACAGCCATCACGTTCACCCGTCACCTTCACCCGTCACCTTTACCCGTTACCTTCACCTTTACCCGTCACCTTCACCTTTACCCGTCACCTTCACTTTACCCGTCACCTTCACTTTAACCGTCATGTTCACCTTTACCCGTCACCGCTATCTTCAAGCGTCACCTTCACCCGTCACCTTCACCTTCAGCAGTTACCTTCACCTGCCACCTTTACCCGTCACCTTCACCCGTCACCTTCACCTTAACCTGTCACTTCACCTTCAGCTTGTAACAATGTCATGAGTTTCCCTCCACCTGAGAGTTCCCACCAATTTCGATCCAATAGTATGAAGGCCTTAGGCCTGTCTTCGACCAATGAGAAAGCCAATGAGGCTTGAAGTCATGAAAGTTGTGGCGTCCCTTGTGGGCTGACGCAGTTTGGAAAGCGGAGTCTGTGTTTGGTCAGAGTTAAGTGTGGTTGTGTCCTGGGTGTCACCTCCTCATATGGCGGCTATAATGTGAGTACCTATTAGGTTTGATCCGTTTCCCGAAATGTATTGTGAGTCATGGACCCCTTAGTTAAGAAGATAGGTTTATTGTTTTGAAGTATAATTGTCAAACCCTAATAGAAAGACTTCAATAAATACAGTAACCATTAAGAAAGACTGATGTGTTATAAATGTCTTGGTATTATGTAGTAATACGGTGAGTCCTATATACAATAACTGTCCTATATTTCCCCTCCGTGAAGTATTGTATCTTAGTTCCCCTAACCAGCTTCTCTGAGTCTTCCCTGGCTGGTGTGTGAGGGAGGGCCAACTGTAAGCCTTTATCAAAAGCCGACCGCAACCATAAACAATTACCTCCCTGAACCGGCTGGTTAATTCAAAGTTATATTGCGCTTTAGTAATGAAACCCAATCGAAGTTTCTTCTTTTATTAAAAAGTATTGTTTGTATAATTCCTGAGTGTAGATCAACCGTAACTTCCACTATTTATGAGCGTGAAGAGAGAGGACGGTGGCTATGTATATAGACCGTGAATCAACGCCCGTTCGATGTAAGTGTTTGAGTCTGACTAGCAATGGGCGCAGGCTTATGCGAGCTGACACAAGTGCTGACATACAGTCAAATGAGCCGCACCCCAAGGAAACTGACAACATGACAACTCATAGCCAGTGGAAAGTTACAGGGAGTGAATTTGAATATAAATCAACTGTAAAGAACCCATTTGTATAATACTTCTGTTGATGAGACAGGGGCCATTACATACCTCACCCTCTCCACCTCTCACGAGTGTAACGAGAAAGAATAACAGGAATAGGTAAAAGAAACAGTAAGAGTAAGTGAAATAAATAAATAAGTATAAAGAATTAAAAAGACAATAAACCAGTAATTTGTTACATAAAATATGTTACATTAAATTAGGTACATAAAATGTTACAAACTTCACCCATCATCATCACCTTTACCCGTCACATTCACCTTCACCCGTCACCTTCACAGACCACTTTCACCTTCACCCGTCACCTTCACATTCACCCATCACATTCACCTGTCTCTTTCACCTTCACCTTTAACAGTCCATTCATTTTAACCCGTCACCTTCACCTTCTCCCATCACCTTCACCTTCTCCCGTCATCTTCACTTTCACCTGTCACCTTCACCTTTAACAGTCCCTTCACCTTCACCCGCCACTTTCACCTTCACCCATCACATTCATTTTCACCCGTCACCTTCACCTTCACCTGATCACCATGAGGAATTTAGAGCGTACCTGCAAAACAGACAGCAAAATGAACTATTCTTATCCCCTGTCACAGCAGATGAATTACTGGCCATCATAAAAATGTCCAAAGATGCAGCAGCAGGCGAAGACAATATACCAATGAGCATCATTAAGAAAGTGGCCCACTTATTGCTACCTGTTCTCCTCCACATTTGTAACTCCTTCACTAGTGGTGTCTTTCCTGATAAACTGAAAATTGCTAAAATCCACTCGGCTTATAAAAAATCTGGGGACAAGGGTCTCTTCAAGAATTACAACCCCCATATCAGTCCTCCCAGCCTTGAGTAAGATACTGGAAAAGCTAGCATGTAATAGACAAAATTCCTTCTGCAATGCCAATAACATCTTTACAAACTCCCAGTTTGGATTTAGAGCTAGAAGGTTTACTGAGTGTGCTCTGCTATCCTTTACTAATGACATCTTAAATTCCTTTGATGACAGTCAGTTCGCAGTCGGTATATTCTTGGACATCTCTAAAGCCTTCGATACTGTCGACCATTCCATCCTCCTTTCAAAGCTTGAACATTACGGCGTTAGGGGCCTGTCCCACAATTGGTTTACCTCATATATGTCCAGCAGGATGCAGTATGTCTGTTATAATAACCACCAATCTGACTCCTCGCCAATCTTGTATGGAGTCCCCCAAGGTTCAATTCTCGGTCCAGTATTGTTTTTGTTGTACATAAGCGACATAGTCCATGCCAGCTCACTCATAAAATACAACTTATTTGCAGACGATAGTAATCTCTATGCCAGCAACTCAGACCTCCTTTCCTTGATGAGAACTATGAACACTGAATTAACTTAAGTCGGGACCTGGGTAATACGTAATAAACTGACCTTAAACCTTGAGATCTTTCACAGAAGAAAAAACTTACCTCCAGACTTGGACCCCCTGTACCTTAGTAATATAGTCCTCAAACGCGAACAAAATACCAAATTCCTTGGAGTTATTGTTGATGAGAAACTTAACTGGAGAAACCACATACACGCCATTCACAGTAAAATCAATAAACAGTGCCGTATCATGTATCACATTCGACAGTCACTCACTCTCACAGCAATGAAAGAAATCTATCATGATCTTGTTTACTAACACTTGATACACTGTCACACACTATGGGGGGCCTCTGGGTCTTCAAAAACACAATCTCTGGTTACTGCACAAAAGAGAGTTGTACGGACAATGAACAGATAATTTATGTTATGTTAGGCTACGCCAGGCTAGATTAGGTTAGGTTAGATCAGATGAAGTTATGGGATTTTGTCCAACAACTTTTGCAGAGAGTGCGGTGGAGGGAGGGGCGGTGGTCATTCGGTAGAGTGGCCCCTCAATATATATTACTCCACAATCTACTCCTCCTCCAGGCTCCCGCCGTGTTTGGTTGTGGGGAAGGGAGCTGTGTTGGGAGGTGTTAGAGGAGAGGGTGATGGGCGCTGGTGAGGGAGGGAGGAAGGGGGTATAAGGCGGTGGTTGGGGAAGGAAAGAATTGTTGGGCAGTTGTAAGGGAGGGAGAGGTGCTGTTGGGTGGTTGGGAAAGGAAGGCAGGGATGTTGAGGACATAAGGCACATTAAATTCATAATACTCAGATAAAATATACAATAGGAACAGAGGCGCCCTTATGGCATGAATATAATTATCCAAACCAGAAAGGATATTGCAAAGAGAGGATTAAAAACATTATGCAGTTCACCGCACTGCCTAAAGAAATAAGATTACTCATGGTAAAATTATTCATCATACCGATACTAATCTATCCAATCAAACGGTCCCCCTTCACATGCTGAGTACCACCCAGATTATTAAAACTACAGGTGGTCCAGAACGAAGCCCTAAGATTCGCTACAGATGAAGGACACTCCTATAATATAACAACGGCCGAAATACACAGTGACCAGGGATAGGGAGTTTAACAGTTTGGCCAGAATGATCTGGTAAAATATACAGTAGAACGATTCGAGCTAAAACTACCAAGACTCCCACCAGAGAGTAACACCAACCATACGGCACCAAATCTCAAAAAGTAAATCACAAACCCCAATTTTCTCGTCCAGGCAATATAAAACTTCCTTAGACCAGACTCGGTTAGTAAGGATGGGGGCATATAAACATTGTTCGGCCAGTGTCTAAATTATTTACAATACCTCGTACAATAGCATGAGTTCACCACACTATTAAATTTGCTAGTCAGTAGCAAGGCAGATAATCATTCCATCAATTACTGCACTGTATTAACTCCATCTACACTTATTCAGCCCCTGAACTGTTAACCCCCTTCTTCCTCCAAACTTCTTTTACCCCCTTTTCTCGACGAAAACATCACATGCATACTCGTACATGTACACTTACAATTGTATATACTTATATGTTTATACAGACACAAACAGTATACTCGTGCATTCATAGACACGCATTATAAATAAAGTGCATATAACACACACACACACACATACACACACACACACATTACCGTATACATATATCACAAGGGAGATAATGCATTACCTAACCCTCCATCTTCCGTATCCACTCACTGTGACTGGGCTCTTGAAAATGGAAAATCTCTCAGTAATGGAGATATTTTTCTGAGATTCCCCGACGGTGTCTTCACTTTGTGCTGGTTCCTTAAAAGTTCCTAAGTGAAATCCTTCTAGTATATAGATTACTGAGTTTGGACGCCATTTTTTTGAGGGAGAAGGACCATCCACACTGTAAAAATAAAAAAGTAAATAACAAAATACCTGAATCTTAATGAGATTTATATTAATTATTGTTTTCATAAATGGAGCTGGCGAGAGGCAGTGATGACCTATAGAGTTATTATTATTATTATTATTATTATTATTATTATTATTATTATTATAATAAGGCCTCCAGCCTCCCCCAATAGCCACACCTTCGCCGCCATTTTATTACCTTAATATTAAATATCCTAATACATAAGTAGCTATCCTATCTGTGTTGAATTAGTTGAGCCGCAGATCTATGCGGCATTCAGTGACTGTAGCCTCGTAGTCGATATCTGCAGCAGTTGTCGGAATTGGGGCAGAAGCTCTCGTTCCCCTGAGGCAGAGCAAAGCCGACTGAAGGAGAGAGAAAGACAGTCGACATCTCATCCAGGCTGTAACGAAACTTCTGGGCTGCTACTTCTGTTCGGAGATCACCTCCGCGAGTCTGGCGTAGAAACATCTTGCACTTGGTCCCATCCCACCAGAGGTTGTGAACACTAGGGGAGTGAAGCTGCCTTGGTCAACGTTTTGGATTCTCTCCCCATATGCCCTTATCTTGTCGTTCTCGTTCCTCCTATGTGCAGCATCGAGAGCTAGGTTACGGTGACATGCGGCCATGGGATCAAAAATCTTGATGCCGAAGAAAGCTCGCTGTCCTCGCGTCCAGAATCCTTGAGCACTGACGTCAACACGGGCTTCGTTAGATGTGTTTGAAGTCCTATGTTGGAGGATCTCACCATCCAATGGAAGGAGGGTCGGTTCTACCATGACATCCCGGCAGATTTCCTTCAACATATTTGCTGTGAGATCCCTTACCTCGTCATGCCTCATGCATAT